GCAGAAGCCTTGCCACATGGCCTTTAGCTTCTGCTGCCTTTCTGTTATAAACATAAGAAATAAAGTCAATTAAATTAAAGATTGAACGGACGGACAGAAGCACGGACGGGCTGACGGACGCTTCGCCCCACTCATCATCATTCACTCCGTAGATATGCTGTGATTTTTTTTTTTTGTGTGGCTGTTTGGCGTTGCATAGTCCGTGAGCTTATTATGAGCTCGTAGCTGATCAATAATCCCTCGTATACCTGAAGGCACCAAGTCTGTCAGAATGAGACCCTCGCTATGAGTGATGAAAAGAAGTGCATTTAAGCGCTCGTTTTCTTTGTTAGACCATAGCCCCCTATATTTTTCTTGCCTGCCGGATGAGCGTGAAACGCCCATCATTTATGGCGGCGCTCGCTACGCAGGGATGTTAGACAGAAAGCTAAGCAGCGGGGGGAACCGACAGATGATGTTGAAAGAAAATGGGACATCTTTCTAAGCCGTAGAAGGAAAGCATCCCTTCTTATCAATGGAAAGATTAGAAGAAAGGGATTTAGTGGCTGGCAAAAGTACATAAAAAGGATAAAAAGGCAGCTTCGAAAATTTTGGAACCATCTAAACTCCCTAAGAAATGAGACAAGCCTAGAGCAGAGGTTTATAACTACAGCTCAAGGTGCTAGGCTACAAGAGGACGAAGCTAATGAATATATAAGAACAAGGGTGACGAAAAAATTCCAACAAAGAAGTGCATTATGCACCACAATAGACAAGCATGGATCAAGTGGCGCAATGGCTCCATTTTCACAATGAGAGTGGGAAAGGGCTGAGGAGAGGGTTCCTAGTAGTACATCAACAAGCCCAGATGCCATTCCAATTATGCTGATAAAGACATTGGGTCCGAAGTCTAAACAGACTTTGAGAGAGGCAGTGAGCAAAACAATAATCGATGGTGAAGTCCCCGAGGGATGGAAACTTAGCAGGATGAGCATGATCTATAAAGGAAAGGGGGACAAAGCTGACATACACAACTACCGTCCTATAACCGTGACATCAGTGGTCTACAGGCTGGCGATGCAGATTATAAAGGAAAAACTGCAGGCGTGGATAGAGGATGAGGGGGTGCTGGGGGAACTGCAGAATGGGTTTCGGAAACACGGGAGGTTGTACGACAATCTGTGCTCACTGACGCAGTGCATCAAAATAGCAGAAAAGGAACACAGGCCCCTGTGGCTACCATTTTTGGATACCAAGGGAGCGTATGATAACGTGGTTCAAGAGGACTTGTGGGGAATACTGTACGCACTAGGTGTGAAGGATGGAGTCACTAATATTTTAAAGGATATCTATAAAAGTAACAAGCTAGTTATAAAGGGGAAAAAGAGGCATCCAAGCCCGCAGAGGTAACACGTGGGCTTAGGCAGAGGTGTCCTCTGTCACCCTTGTTATTCATGATGTATCTACAAGGTTTAGAGGCCAAATTAGAGGGAAGTGGACTTAACTTCAACGTCTCTTTCGTCAAACAAGGAAAACTCATTGAACAGGCACTACCAGCATTGATATACGCAGATGATATAGCGCTTATGGCCGACAACAAGGAAGATTTGCAGAGATTGATGGCCATCTGCAGTAATGAGGGAGATAGGTTAGATTCAGAGTCAGTAAAGAAAATCACCAGTCATGATTTTATTGATAATAAAGGTAGTTAGCTAAGGATACGGGAGGTCATGCTAGAGATAACAGATAAATACAAATATCTGGGTGTATAAATAAGCAATGGAACCGAGTACCTAAGGGAACACGAAATATACGCACCGACTAAAGGTAATAGGAATGCAGCAGTGATGAGTAAAGCACTGTGGAGTTAGAATAGGTGTGATGTTGTAAGAGGAATATGGAAGGGGGTCATGGTTCCTGGTCTGACGTTCGGCAATGTTGTCTTGTGCATGAGATCAGAAGTTCAAGCAAGATTAAAAGTTAAGCAACGTGTAATAGGTAGGCTTGCTTCAGGAGCTTACGGGAATACACTAAATCAGGGTGTACAAAGTGATGTGAGATGGACATCATTTGAGAGCAGGGAAGCTAGCAGCAAGATAAAATTTGAGAAGTGATTGAGAGAAATGGGGGAGGAGCGTTGGGCTAGGAAGGTTTTCAGCTACTTGTACATGAAGAATGCCGATACAAAATGGAGGAAGTGAACCAGAAAATTTAGGGGTAAATACTTAGATAGCAGCAGGGGGCCAAATCAAAAAGAACAGTTGGTTAAGAAGAAGGTGAAGGAAACTGAGACCGAAATGTGGATAATTAGCATGATTAAGAAGTCCGCACTAGAGATCTATGGGACTTTTAAGCAGTAAATTGCCAAGGAAAGGATCTATGATAATACTCGGGGTAGTTCTCTACTGTTTGAGGCCAGGACGGGAGTATTGCGAACCAAGACATATCGGCACAAGTACGAAGGGGTAGATACGGTATGCAGTGCGTGTGGAGAGACGGAGGAAACTGCCGAACACTTGACAATGTTCTGTAGAGAGGTTCACCTTATAGCGCAGGATGATGGCTCAGAGTTCTTCAAAGCATTGGGGCCTGGTTTAGGGACAGGAAGGGCAAAATTAACTTTAAGCGGGTAGAATTAACTATAGAAGGAGGTTATCTGATTGGTGGCTAAAGTCAAGGCACGAGTGAAAATTAAACCCTTCACTGCAAAGCACCAGTCCTCAACTTCACGATTCAAATGAAAAAAAAAGATAAATCTGATTGTTGGTTCACTGAGTATTATGGCTAGGTGACGTTAGCCGCTGCCCGATCTAAAGGGTACAGCCACAATAATTCATCCATACATCCAAGGGTTTTTGTACTTGGCACGGAGGAAGGAAAGGTCCTTCCTTCGTGGTACTTGGCCTTTCAGATTAGCAACTTTGGCGTTTGCTAGTTTTAAAGGCCATGTCTTGTAATGAAGGGGTTGCCCGCTGAATGAGCGCGAAACGCCTATCATCTATGGAGGCGTCATTTACGTAAGGTTAATTATAGTTACAAAATTTTTAAAAGGCGTAAACGTAAAGTTATTTTTGTCGCACATATGCTCCAAAACGTGAAAATGTACTTGAAGACGACCCTACTTAAGTGGCGCCACCACTGCAGTTCCGACGACGGCCGCACCCCAAGTATACCGCAAGTTACAGTGTACTAGAAGAGTACCCCAAGTGACCACTGATAATCCGGCAGGCAAGGAATATCTAGGATACCTTGGTTACACACAATATTAATGAGGTCTAACAGGTCATCAGGCCATGGCATGATTGTTTGTGTCTAAGAAAGATAATGAATCCTTAAATGAACTTCTTTCTTTTTTTTCGTTTCGACACTTCCTGATGGGCAATCAATTGAAGCTATACTTGGTTATGCATGCTTTATTCACTGTGATGGATGAAATAAAGTAGTTCACATGAAAAACTGAAAGATGAGTGCTCCCTGCCTTTTGCAAGATGAGGTACACTTACCAGAAGCAGCTTAGTAGTTTATAATGACGCCGTTCATCAAGATTCATTGCAATGGCATCGAGCGGAGTTGTGATGAATTAACAAATATTCACAAATCACCTCCCGTCTTTTTTTTTTCACTGTAGCTAAATAATATTGCACTCATACGCGAGCAAAATTAAGTCCTAGGGGTTTTTTTTTTGTGTCATGGCAAACACACGAAGTCATGATAAATATCACGCCAAAGGGGCATGCACACGCTTCCTGATTTACGTTGAGCACCACGTACTTCGCCCGTCGCAACATAGTCCGCGCATACACCACGTCGTCCACCGTAAAACGATTGCCAGCAGCCGCGAAATCATTTGGCAGCAAAAAGCTAAAACATTCCTGCATCCGTCATGTCTGCCGCGCACGGACGGCTCAAGCCTCAAGCTGTGCGGAGCATGACTTCAGCACGACAGCGCGCAAACGAAAGTTTCTTGCGTCGTGGGAAACACATAATCGCACACTAAAGGGGCATGCACTCCCGGAATAATATTAAACACCACGTCTTCCATCGTAAAACGATCTGCACAGCCGCGCGTGACACATGTCCACGAAAAACCCAAATTTCTACGGCATTCAAAAAAACGTTTTTTTTTTTTTTGTTATTTTATGCCCTCTAGCTCAGTCCGCGCCAAACTACTTAGTCTCATAAATAGGGAAAAATATTTTTTGGCAACGTAAATAAATGACCCAGACGAGTTTCGCACTTCGAGGAACGCGTGAAAATTCTTTCACCCATACTCGTGATTGTTGGAAAAACACTGGATGATTTGGCATGGAACGAACCAGTAGTGGCGTGTCACTGTCGGAGTCACTGCATACTAATTCACACATATCGTATTACCGTTCTTTTAGCGCCCTATGAACACGCGGCGCATCTGCGGAATTGCTTTCCGTGATGTTACCCTGCGATTACAAGTCACTGAGGAGCTGCCTGCTCAATATCGAAACCGAAAGTGTTTTAGGTAGACTACTAAACATATAGGTATGCCAAAGATTTATTGCCGGGATGCATTTGCAAGCACCGCGATACTACAATTACTAAAATCTAGTTCACTGTAACCTTACTGCTTTAGGCATAGAGTTAATGTTTTAATCAAAATTATTGAATTATATGGGTTGTGAAATTTCGTGTATCAAAATGCAGACACGTCACATTGCTCGGCTAAAAATGACGTCTGTGCTCTTTAAAAAAAAAGAGAAAAACATTTAACGGTGGTTGCCGTATTTTAATTTTGTTTTTTCTTTGATGTCATTGATATTGGCAACATCTTTAAATGTTATTTGCGTTGCGAACATGGCTTTTCTTTCTCCATGGATATGAAAAGAGCCGCAGACATCGTCGTCATCACTTTCAGCTTAGCTGCTCGTGCGTGTTGCCGTGGCACCGTGGCGTTGTTTACAACTTGCTTGCATTGCAAAGGAGTAGCCTGCGTAAAGCGCGCTCAAAAAAGTGGCGATATTCCATTTACAACGCTATGCACCTCGTAGTTTGACAGCAGTCGCAAGTGCGGTGCTGTTGTCGTCGGTGCTAGTCTCTCTGACTGTGCATCATGCTCAGCCAGCGCCGTATATGGATGAAATCTTCCACGTTCCGCAGCACAGAATGACTGCGCCTACAACGTGTCTCACTGGGATCCGATGATTACTACACCACCGGGACTCTACCTGACGTCGGTGCTGTTGCTGCTTCCTTTCAGGCTTGTTACGAACGCTGAAGTATGCACGCTGTTCGCTTTGCGTTGCTGCAACATAGTTTTGACGCTGGGAAACTTCTGCGTCTCGTCGTTGATCGCGATCAAGCTTGCCGGAGCCGCTGGAAACAAAGTCCGCGCGAAGCTCGTCCTGTCCAGCGCCGCAATGTCGTTGCTACCGGTGCTGCACTTCTTCACATTTCTCTATTACACCGACCCGGGATCCGTACTCTTCGTGCTGCTCATGTACCTGTACTCCCTGTTCGATCGTCACTACGTCGCTGCGTGCTTCGGAGCTGTAGCCGTGCTGTATCGACAGACCTCCGTCGTGTGGGTATTCATGGTCGCCAACCTGCAGAGCTTTGGAAATTGCCGAAAGTGTGTTTACTGCGAGCGACAACAAACCCGAGGGCCTTACGTGCGCCGTCGCCGCGATCGTCTCCGCTCCGATGAAACAAGGGCGCCTCATCGCGCACATTGCGAGGATAGTGCTGAGTGAGTGCGCGGGTTACGTGGTCGTGGGGCTGTCGTTCGTAGCTTTCGTGCTCGCGAACGGCGGAATCGTTCTCGGCGACAAGTCTTCGCACCAGGCGTGCGCGCACCTGCCGCAGCTCGGCTACTTCGCGCTCTTCACGCTCGTTCACGCCGCTCCGTACTTGTTGCAGCCCGGCATTGTCAAGCGCTTCTTCGAAAGCGTTCGCCGAAGGCCTTTCTTATACGCGGCTGTTACTTTAGCCTGCCTTCTGGCCGTGCAAAACTTCACCCACGTTCACCCGTATCTATTGGCGGACAACCGGCACTTTCCCTTCTACCTTTGGAGGCGGCTGTTGGGCAGGAACGAGCTTGTTCGCTGCTGCCTAGTGCCGCTCTACATCTACGCAGGATACGCCATGTCTCACCAGCTGCGCCATAAGGAACCGTGGTGGCAGCTTCTGTTCTTCGTGTGCGTCGTCGCGTCCACGGTGCCCCAGAAGTTGCTAGAATTCCGCTACTTCGTCGTTCCCTATCTGTACTTTCGGCTGCAGTTGAAAGACGTCAAGTATTGGCAAGTGCTCGCGGAACTAGTTGCCAATATTGCTGTCAATGTAGCCGTGCTGTGGCTGTTCTTAAACCGCACGTTTACGTGGACGGGTGAGCCGGCCGTTCAGAGGTTTATGTGGTGATTCGCCAAATAGTGTTCAATCTGCATGTTGTCTACTTTGCCCAAAAAGTGATATTGTGATCTCGCCTGTTGTCAACAGGCCAACCTGAGTGACGGAGGAGCTGGAAGTGATGGGAAATATCGCAACCCACCAGCACACAGTCACGAAGAGAGCAAGAAGGAAGCACACACAGCAGTACTGCTTATAATCATTGTGCACTAGTGGATCGCACTGTTACACCCACAACTCGGGTTTTCAATGTGCTGAAAAAAAGTCATGAGTTCCTATTGCTTTGCAGGGCTGCATCCAGTGGACACAGATCATGATTGATGTTAGATGAGTTGCTTCTCTCATCATCATTTTCCTATTTGCCATTAAGTTTATATGAAATCATCAATATAAAAACTACAATTCACTGTGGTACGATGCATTTTCGATGTCTCTTCCTTCTTGTTTGCAAAGTGAGCTCATCAGTTTGAATTCTTGCTTGAAAAGCTGCTCTAATGTTCTTGCGTTGATTGTTCATTGGCACAGCTGCTTGTTTTGTTTTTTAACAAACATTTTTTTTTCTTTAAAGGCACCCTGAAATGGTTTTGACAATCTTGTACCAACACATTGGACTGGTAGACCGAGTCCTAAGGGTCATTTACAGACCAATATGAGCTCTCTGTGTAAACTGTGTAATTCGCTATAATGCTTTAAAGCTGAGACTCACAGCAGATCACTGCGACTCAGCCAAACGTGTTTTCAACCGCCACACAGAACAGCATGCTCTGGTAACGCGACGTTACCGAGGCTGCTGACCTGATAGGTTGTGGAATGCACGAAACTAAAATTGGTTAATAGGTTGGTGGCACCTGTCAAGAAGATACAAATCACTCCACAATCTTCGTCTCTGTTGCCAGACAGAGTGATGGCGTCTGAGATAGCCCGCAACCTGTCGGCATACAATCTCGGAGATCTGGACTGGGCCAAGCTCAAATCGATGAGTGAGCTCATGACTATTCTGCGATCGCCTGCGTGTCTCATGACTTGAGGACGCAAGGCAAAGATGAGAATTAGCAAGAGTATGATATAATTGTGGCCTATAAGTAGTGGCCTTAGTACACGGCATGTCTCTAAATTTATGGTGGGAATGGTTTGATAACGCTTTAGCCTAAACACTCCCTGTTGTGTGCCGAGATGAATTCCATGTGTGGAAACCCTATGCATTCTTTATGAAGTTGATTAAAGGTGTAACTTTGGAGCCCTAAATTTCTGGTATAGCTAGTCAGTCGCAGCCCTACTGGGGTTGTGTGAATTTTTTCAAAAAATAGAGTTAAAATATAGTTCGTCACCATAAAAAACCTCTGGGCCTGCACAGAACGTGCAGCACAGTTGCTAAAGAAGCTCGAAGGGCAGCCTTTCGGAGCTTTTTCTGAACACTTTTTGGGTAACAGCTACGAGCTTTCTTTCAGGGTACCCACTATGCCATTAATCATCATAATTTTTATGAAGTAGTATTCACTATACCATCTTTTGTAATTATTTGGAGAAGTGTGATGTTCACTACACGCTTGCAATGAATTTTGTGCAATCTTTCGATGCTGTGGCTGAGGACACAGAATTATGCCAAAACCTTTTGTAATGGGTCGGAGCATTCGACAGCCCACTAGTTATGCAATTCATTGTGTGTGATGCTCGGTTGTTTCTTTGCTGCTCTAAAACGCTTTATTACTTGTAATAGGTAGTTTGAGAATTCAGGGCCAGGACACTGGGTTCGCAAGCTGCATTTTGTTGGTTGCTCTTGCGTTCGGAGGATCAGCAGAGTTTGAGAATCGGGTCAAGCACAGACTGCGTTAAGTCAAACGCACGGGGCATCAGATGGGGGGAAGTTTTCATTATGCGAGACGCATGGATATACTGCATCGTGGCGCGCGTTGCGTCTGCGTTGTCTCACTCCCGAGGCAAGATGCCTTGAGCACCCACACTAGTTTTTGCTTTTTGGGCTTTGGGTCAACACGAACGCGAGAGACTGAGATTGGCTGGCGTTCTGCGCATGCGCCTTGGCGGGTAGCTAACTTATTGTGTTCCCAATTCTCAAACTCTCTCTCAACGCAATTTTTTTCCCTATACCAATCCTGCCTAAGGCCAGTTGGCAACGGAGTTTAAAGCACCAATGTGGCTTGAAACTCCGTTTTGAGCCACAAGAACTCAAAGAATCGAGGACAGACGGATGGCTATAGAAACTATACTGGGATGGGTACTGCAAGGGCGGTCAGAGCAAAGCAAGACAAAACTAACACAATCAAGCAGTCATGGTTCTAAAGGTCGAAGCTGCGGAGACAGAACTCCAGCAAGAGCTACAGAAGTTCTGGAGTCAATGGGAATCACAAAAAATAGTTTGGATAACACCGAAAATGAAGTGGTCGAAGAATTCAAGCGCAAGATTGTACAACAAAATGGTCGCTATCAAGTCAGCTTGCCATGGAAACAGGACGTAAACGTGGAAAGCAACAAGGAAAATGCGATAAAAAGACTACAGCAACTGACTAAAAAGCTGCAGAAAAATGAAGACATGCTGTATCGCTACGACAAAGCTACATCAGAGTATATGGCATTAGGAGTCGCAGAGGAGGTCCAAGAGCCATCAGAACAGCCAAATGAACTTTGCTACTACATGCCACATCATGCAATCATTAGAGAGGACCGAGCCACAACAAAGGTTCGAGTATTGTTTGACGTCTCATCACATTCTTGAAAAGGCATGTCTTTAAACGAGAACCTAGAGGCAGGACTCAATTTGAATGAGGACATGCTATCGCTGCTCATTAATTTCGGAAAAGAAAAGGTGGCATTAGTTGGAGATGTTGAAAAGGCATTTGTACAAATCTCTATACATGAAGAGGATAGAGATGCAATGAGATTTCTGTGGTGGAAGCATGACGCTGAAGGAAGGTTAATGAATGAAGTGCAAACGTGGCGCATGACAAAAGTAACGTTCGGAACAACACCAAGCACGTTTATACTGGCAGCTACAATTAAGCACCATTTGAAACAAGTGTAAGACCAGTTTCCTGATACGACAAGGACACTGCAGAAAGCGATCTACGTGGATGATGTCATTTTGGGAGCAGCAACGCTTGATGAAGCAGCCAAGTTGTACAAAGAGGCAAAGCAAGTGTTCAGAGAGGCAGCGGTGAATTTGAGAAAATGGACATCCAATGAAGAGCAATTAAACAGAATAATTGATGAAAACGAAAGGGACGGTTCTCACATAGATATTCGATCTAGAGGATTTACAATGCTTCTAGGCTTGATATGGAAACACTGAAAGGACATAATTTGCTTCTCGATGAAAAGTGTAATTTATTAACAGATACAACGTACTTGACAAAAAGGGCTGTGCTACAAACCACAGCGAAGATATTTGACCCACTCGGTTTGTTGTGGCCATTCACAGTACGCGCGAAAATAGGACTGCAGAGACTGTGGAAAACGAACGTCACGTGGGACGACCAGCTCCCTAAAGATGAATGCGACAAATGGAAGAACCTTATGTCTGAAGCGGAGGACTTTCGAGTTCTAGAAATCCCACGATGCTATGCAAACAAGAATCAACCAGTACAAGCATACAAGCTGCATGCATTTGCCGACGCGAGCCCATTAGCATACGGAGTGGCAGCATACTTAATAGCAGTATACCACGATGGAAGCAAAGAATCAAGGCTGGTAACAGCAAAAAGCCACGTAGCTCCAATTAAAGAGCTGACATTGGCGCGACTTGAACTGATGGCAGCGGTGGTAGCATCGAGATTATGCGACTACATCAAAGGTCACTTCAACGAAAGAATTCAGGAAATACAATGCTGGACGGACTCGATGATTATGCTTCACTGGATCAAGGGAACAAGCAAAAGGGATTCGTTTGTTGCCAACAGAATCGCAGAAATTAGAGAAAAAACACTTCAAGCAAGCTTGAAGACGTCGATACGAAAAATAATATCGAAAAGCACAGCTTCGGTAGAGGAGCTACGCACTATTGTAGCAGAAGTTGAAGGAACACTCAACAATCGACCATTGACTTACATATATGGAGAACCTGAAGAGCCAATGCCACTAACGCCGGCAGACATCATAGGTGGACGGCGACAGCTTCAAGACGGACAAACAAGACCGTACGACGGTGACATTGAAGACGCATGGCAACGCAGATGCAAACTTGCGCGCGCTTGGTGGAAAAGATGTCATCAAGAATACATCAAGGAAATAGGAGCTACGGTCAAAGCCAAGACGCGGCAAGCAAAATCACTCTCACAGGTTGACATCGTGTTGGTTGAGGACAAGGCTCCAATAACATTTTAGAAAATGTGCCGGATTGAAAAACTCTACACTGGGCGAGACGGCTTGTCTTCTTCGCACAGGCAAAAAAGAGCTTATAAGAAGATCGGTGAACCACATATAGCCTATGGAAGGTTGTTTCAAATAGCCTGCGAGAGCTTCGGGCGGGAGCCTATAAAATATCATCATCAAACGCCGGAAGAATAAAAAAGAAGACTGCTGCCTGGAGCAAGCGCGCGCTACTTCCCTTCTTCTGATAAACAGTATTCGTTCGAAGCTGTCCCTGGTCTCGATCGTCCTAATAGTACACTTTTGAAGTAATTCTACAGTTGTGGCTTTAGCCCCATTGAAGAAAATATTGTTTTTTCGCCTTGAAGGCTGAAACTGTCGGCTAGTTCGTTGATACTGTCGAGGAGCAGCATGAAAGACAGGGACAGAAAAGGGCACACAAACAACCACATGTAGTGCAGACTGCCAAATCCTCTGCCAGAGTTGATTGTCAGTGCCATGTCTCTTAGGTTGTGCACCTTTTACAGTGAACGCTGTTATGAGTACACAACAAGGGTCACCTGTGGTGCTGTAGTTGTCCGCCGCCAGTGTCTGTAACTATATTGCATGAAATAAGAAAAAAAAAATTAGTAAATAGGAACACGAAGGTTACAGCAGGATTCGAACCAGGGTTCACTGCGTGCCACCCCAGTATTCTACCACTGAGCCAGGTTTTTTTTTTCTTTTTTTTTTATTGCAGCATGTAACATTCAAACAACAGCAAACACACTCAGACTGAGCTTCTAGCTCAATTCCATGGCTTCAAGGCAGATGAGCCATTTGCCACGTATACTTGAAATGTGTTCAAATAACATACTTCATCCATAACATTTAGCAGTTCATCATTGTAGCAAAGTTTTGCAAAAACTTCTCCCAACTTGCACATATGTTCAATAAAATACATACGTACTGGCCGCGCGTCTAAATCACAATGTCTGACTGCCATGCGGCTTAGCCATATGCTGTGTAAGCCAAGGAGAAAGAACATATTATATTTTAGTAGGCCAGGTTCTATTGTTAAAAATCGAATTCAATGTGAAGTGAGAGGTAAATCTTTCTTAA